GCCCTGGGTTTTGACGACAAACAAGGTAAACAGAATAAGAAGCAAAAGGTGGGTGTGGCTGGATGACCACACTTCTGGTAACATGGGGGTGCGGCCTAATGTGCTAATGAGCTGTGCTGTCAGGGGTGTGGCCCAATATGCTAATGAGTTCCTGCTGTTGGGTGTGGCCTGTTATGCTAATGAGTTCCTGCTGGGCTTTTTCTACAAAAAGAGCCCTGGATCATACAACCAGTACCTTCCCACCCTGAACTTAAACCCATTCTTGCGAGTCCTCTCCTCTGCTGCCAAGAGGAACAGCTCCCTGCCCTCCTCTAAGTGATAGCCCTTCAAAGACTTCGAGAGAGCAATCACGTCCTCCCTCCACCTCCTCTTCTCCAGACTGAACCTTCCCAAGTCCCTCAGCCTTTCCTCGTAGGGCTTGGTCTCCAGGCCCCCAATCACCTTCCTCGCACTCCTCTGCACCCGCTCCATTCTGCCTGCCTCCCTTTTGAAGTGAGGCCTCCAGAACTGCACACGATACTCCAGGTGTAGCCTGAACAATGCAGCGTACATCCAATTGCCTGGGCAGATCAAACAAATGTTGTTTCAGCGGCAGCTGCCCGTTTGTTGTAGTGGTGAGGAGCGGTGTTCCCTCTGAGCTGGGTTAGTGTGAGGTAGCTCACAGTTTCTCAGCCTCTGGCTCACACGTTTTTGTCTTAGCTCAAGAAGGATGGCTCCAGGGCAGATTAATTTAGGCAGTAGCCAAATTGCTCGCTCACAACTTTTAATTCCAGTAGCTCACAAAATTGATATTTTTTTTGTTCATAAGACTCCACAGTTTGGAGGGAACATTGGTTAGGAATGCGGTCTCTAATCACGGAGAACTGGGTCTGATTCCCCACTCCTCCACATGCAGCTGCTGGTGTGACCTTGGGTCAGTCACAAGTTCTCTCAGAGCTGTTCTCTCAAGGGCAGTTCTCTCAGAGCTCTCTCAGCCCCACCTACCTCACAGGGTGTTTGCTGTGGGAAGAGGAAGGGAATGGAAAGGAGATTATAAGTCAGTTACAAGTCCTTTGAGAGTTGTTCTCTTGAGAGAAGTCCTTGAAAGAGCTCTCTCAGCCACCTACCTCACAAGGTGTCTGTTGTGGGGAGGGGAAGGGAAAGGAGTTTGTAAGCCGCTCTGAGACACCTTCGGGTAGTGAAGGGCGGGGTATAAATGTAATCTCCTCCTCCCCCTCTTCTTCGCTTTTATTCTCTCTCTTCCTTCTCTTTCCCATTGCATTCTTTAAACCCCCTTCTCTTGGGTTTCGTCTATGTGATTGGCTCCGCGCCCGCCACTCCATGTCACCATTCCGAAGGCTGACAAAGGTTGGGAACCGCGATCGAATCGATCTATGAAAAGGCGAAAAACAAATCCACTGTAATCTGTTAGTGTCACTGAGCTAAGAAAACAGGCCACAGTCTATGTAGGATGCTGTTCATGTAAAGCAAAGCATTTTGGTGCCCTTTCACGCTGCAGGAGTTTTCCTTACCAGCGGCCATACTTGGAAACAGCAGAGACGCTTTGCCTTCACCGCCCTCAGGAACCTGGCGACGACCATCCAGCAACGCATACAAGAGGAAGCCGACTATCTTGTGAAGGTGTTGACGAGCAAGCAAGGTAGACCCACCCTCTGACAGCTGTAATACAAGCATGCCCTGCTATGGGGGCCGCTTCTGGAAAGCTGGATTCAAGCACATTAGCAGCTTGGAGACAGCCATGACTTTTGGGGTATGAGATTTCAAGAGTTAAAGATCGCTTGGTCAGCTGCAAGTAGGTATGGAGTTCCCCGAGTCCTTATATTCCAGTCAGAAGTGGGGGGGGGGGTTTTTTGCAAAGAAGTCAGTATGCAAAGGTAAAATTCCAAAGCTGATTGATTTTGCACCCTACCTTTAAATCCTGACTCTTTTCCTTGCAACATCCCCTTCCGATTGAGATGTAAGGACTCTGGGATCTCCATTCTGAGCCAGTTTGGTGTAGTGGTTAGGAGCGTGAACTCTAATCTGGGAGAACCGGGTTTGATTTCCCCCACTCCTCCACATGCAGCTGCTGGTGTGACCTTGGGTCAGTCACAAGTTCTCTCAGAGCTGTTCTCTCAGGAGCAGTTCTCGAGAGAGAGCTCTCTCAGCCCCACCGACCTCACAGGGAGTCTGTCGTGGGGAGCGGAAGGGGAAGGAGATTGTAAGTCACTCTCCTTCAGGTAGTGAAGGGCAGTGTATAAATCCAATCTCTTCTTCTTCGACTCTTGAAAGCTTATAAGCTTATACCACAGAAATCTCCCTTTGTCAGACAGAATTCAGAATGTCAATACCTGAGCCCTTATATCTCAGGCAGAAGCTGTAAACGACACCCCCTCCCACCTTCTGACTTGGGGTATAAGGAGTCCAGGATCTCCATTCAGTCCTAGTTGTATCTGACAAAGGGAACTTTGACTCTTGTTGGTCTTTAAGATGCCAGTGGTCTTGAAACATGCTCTTCTACTACAAATCAAGGGCAGGAAGGGTTGCCTCAGTGCTTAGTTCTTGTGGCCCTTTCTTACACACCCAGGGAAATGCCGATCACCACTTTGGGGCCAGGAAGCAATTTTTCTCCAGGCTGGTTTGGCTGGAGATCCCTGAGGTTTTTTGTCATCCTCAGGGTGAGGACCAGGGGTCACTGTGGGTGTGGAGGGGGAGGTACTTGTGAATTTCCTGCCTTGTGCAGGGGGTTGGACTAGATGACCCTGGAGGTCCCTTCCAACTCTATGAATCTATGATTCTGTGAAAGCCCCCATGCTGCTATCTCTTTGTTTTTTAAATAGTTTTAAAATTATTTTTAGGATAAACACCGTATGTCCAGTCCAACTATAACCTAACATTTTAACATAATAAACATAAAAGGAATCCAAACAACCTTATCATCACAGCATTCGGTGAGGTTACAGCTTCCACGGCCCCGTTCACACGGAGGATTTGCCGTGCTAAAGGCACGAATGTCAAGCGGGTTTTCGGGGTGCGATTACACCGCAAAATCTAGGAAGCATAGCACACCCGTGGCCAACCCATGGCGTCCCGCCAAAGATGCGCAGTAAAAAACTACCTTGGAAAATGCACTAGTATCCGGGAAATGCGGGGCAGGGGCGGGCGTCTGATCGCGGGAGCACTACTATTCCATGGCATCTGGCGCCCATTCACATCCCGTCGCAAACCGGATGTTTTTCGTAAGCACATGCGCACAAAAAAGTAGCTAAAAGCAGTGCTGCTCTGCGGGACTGTGCAGACGCACAAACGTGAAACGCTTGCCGCACTGCTTCTTCGCCACACTCCAGCATCGCTGTGTGATCGCCAGCTAACGGCCTCAGTGTAAAGACTCGGGGGACCATGTGATTGGGCTACTGCGCTTTATTTTGCTCCGGGGCAAACAGCCATGCCCCCCCCCCCCCCACGTTATCTGGCCCGTGTGACTGGGGCCCACATTATCTATATATCTAATACTGAAGTCGCCCCCTGGTGTGCGGATACCTAAATCCGTGCACCGGGGGCAGCTGGGGGGGAGGGAGAGTTTTGTGCACACGTGGGGCGGGCCCCAGGTGTGCACAAAAATCTAAAAACACAGGAAAAAAAACCGGGGGGATACTTAACCCCCCCAAAAAGTGACAGAGCGTCCCCTGCGCATGCCTCGCTTGGGCCTCGTTTGGGAGCATGGGAGGCGGTGGGGGGGAGGGAAGGGG